CGACAGTAGGCAGGACAACAGAACAGTAGACATTACGACAGTAGACAGTAGAAGGGAACAGTAGACATTACGACAGTAGTCAATACAATAGAACAGTAGACATTATGAAAGTGGGTAGTACAATAGAACAGTAGATATCTCGACAGTAGACAGTAGAAGAGAACAGTAGACATTACGACAGTAGGCAGTACAAGAGAACAGTAGACATTACGACAGTAGGCAGTGCAATAGAATAGTAGACATTACGACAGTAGGCAGTAGAAGAGAACAGTAGACATTACGACAGTAGACTGTACAACAGAACAGTAGACATTACGACAGTAGACTGTACAACAGAACAGAAGACATTACGACAATAGACAGTTGAAGAGAACAGTAGACATTACTACAGTAGTCAGTACAATAGAACAGTAGACATTATGACAGTGGGTAGTACAAGAGAACAGTAGACATTTCGACAGTAGACAGTAGAAGAGAACAGTAGACATTACGATAGTAGAAGGGAACAGTAGACATTACGACAGTAGTCAATACAATAGAACAGTAGACATTATGACAGTGGGTAGTACAATAGAACAGTAGATATTTCGACAGTAGACAATAGAAGAGAACAGTAGACATAACGACAGTAGGCAGTACAAGAGAACAGTAGACATTACGACAGTAGGCAGTATACGAGAACAGTAGATATTACGACAGTAGGCAGTACAAGAGAACAGTAGACATTACGACAGTAGGCAGTATACGAGAACAGTAGACATTACGACAGTAGGCAGTACAAGAGAACAGTAGACATTACGACAGTAGGCAGTACAAGAGAACAGTAGACATTACGACAGTAGGCAGTACAAGAGAACAGTAACCAGCCATAAAGCCTTGGCTGTTTTATTTTGAACACTAACTTGGTGTACCTGATCCTGGGTGAGGGCTCGAACCCCAAGTGGAACTGAACCAAAGCTAACGCGGCGTAGCACTGGATGTATTTAGGAGATAAACGTACTGTGTTTGGAAATTAGATGAATGTTAGACCGAAACGTATATATCACTTCATAGAGCCTCAATGGGTAGTATTTGAAGCAAACACCTTGTTCAAAGTGAATCCCTATTTTCTCAACAAAGACACAGTATCACAAGCTTTCGGTCCGGCTTGGCCCGGGCTCTCAAACGCACCTTAAACCTCACAGGTCTATCTTGAAATGTGTTTAAATCAATAGATTGGTATCATATCTACCTAAATATCACTTTGTGATATTATAAAATGCCTAATGTAAAGAGAACTGGTTCGTTAAAGGTCACATGCAACCAAAATATCAAACATAATTAAAACACAATTATCACTTATTCATGACATATAATATACATTGCTGGTTATGAAAAAACATAAAAACAAAATAATAAGCGTACAATCGCAAATCAAAAGTGCAACATTTTGTACTTGGGTTTACTTCCCAAGAAACGAAGCAGCCGGGATACCGAACCCAGTCAGAGCGGGTGGGTGTGCACTCCAGTGCATTTCACTGCGCATGTGCTATGAGCGCAGCCCAGCTGTTGAAACCACTTCAATTCCCCCAAGCGCTGGGGGAAAGTTAGTGAATCGTTTGAACTACGATTTCGCGCGGTTTTTTTCATCGCGTTATTTTTCAACTTGAAGTTGAATTTGATGATTTGTTTCGGTAAGTCCATACCGAAAGGTATCAGAATCTGCAGAGTCGTGTTTTACGTTGCATGTGACCTTTAAAGTGAAGCCCTTTTCTCTCTCCATTCTCATCATAGCCTCAAGCAAAAGTGTTTAGTCTCTGTTCAGCCCGACTTGGCCCGTGCTGTCAGAAACCTCACACATGTATCTTGAAATGTGTTTATATCCTTAGATTTGTATTATATCTACTTACATATCACTTCACAGAGTCTCAAAGCGTAGTATTTGAATCAAAAACGTTGCTGAAAGTGAGGCTCTCTTTTCAACATATTCTCAACAAAGACACTGTATCACAAGCATTCGGTCCGCCTTGGCCTGGGCTATCAAAACCCCACACATGTATCTTGAAATGTGTTTATATATCCGTAGATTAGTATTACATCTACCTACATATCACTTCACAGAGTCTCAAAGCGTAGTATTTGAATCAAAAACGTTGCTGAAAGTGAGGCTCTCTTTTCAACATATTCTCAACAAAGACACTGTATCACAAGCATTCGGTCCGCCTTGGCCTGGGCTATCAAAACCCCACACATGTATCTTGAAATGTGTTTATATATCCGTAGATTAGTATTACATCTACCTACATATCACTTCACAGAGTCTCAAAGCGTAGTATTTGAATCAAAAACGTTGCTGAAAGTGAGGCTCTTTTCAACATATTCTCAACAAATACACTGTATCACAAGCATTCGGTCCGCCTTGGCCTGGGCTATCAAAACCCCACACATGTATCTTGAAATGTGTTTATATATCCGTAGATTAGTATTACATCTACCTACATATCACTTCACAGAGTCTCAAAGCGTAGTATTTGAATCAAAAACGTTGCTGAAAGTGAGGCTCTTTTCAACATATTCTCAACAAATACACTGTATCACAAGCATTCGGTCCGCCTTGGCCTGGGCTATCAAAACCCCACACATGTATCTTGAAATGTGTTTATATATCCGTAGATTAGTATTACATCTACCTACATATCACTTCACAGAGTCTCAAAGCGTAGTATTTGAATCAAAACGTTGCTGAAAGTGAGGCTCTTTTCAACATATTCTCAACAAATACACTGTATCACAAGCATTCGGTCCGCCTTGGCCTGGGCTATCAAAACCCCACACATGTATCTTGAAATGTGTTTATATATCCGTAGATTAGTATTACATCTACCTACATATCACTTCACAGAGTCTCAAAGCGTAGTATTTGAATCAAAAACGTTGCTGAAAGTGAGGCTCTTTTCAACATATTCTCAACAAATACACTGTATCACAAGCATTCGGTCCGCCTTGGCCTGGGCTATCAAAACCCCACACACACATGTATCTTGAAATGTGTTTATATATCCGTAGATTAGTATTACATCTACCTACATATCACTTCACAGAGTCTCAAAGCGTAGTATTTGAATCAAAAACGTTGCTGAAAGTGAGGCTCTTTTCAACATATTCTCAACAAATACACTGTATCACAAGCATTCGGTCCGCCTTGGCCTGGGCTATCAAAACCCCACACATGTATCTTGAAATGTGTTTATATATCCGTAGATTAGTATTACATCTACCTACATATCACTTCACAGAGTCTCAAAGCGTAGTATTTGAATCAAAAACGTTGCTGAAAGTGAGGCTCTATTCAACATATTCTCAACAAATACACTGTATCACAAGCATTCGGTCCGCCTTGGCCTGGGCTATCAAAACCCCACACATGTATCTTGAAATGTGTTTATATATCCGTAGATTAGTATTACATCTACCTACATATCACTTCACAGAGTCTCAAAGCGTAGTATTTGAATCAAAAACGTTGCTGAAAGTGAAGCTCTTTTCAACATATTCTCAACAAATACACTGTATCCCACTGTACGCCACACTCACGGCGGACTACACCCATTCCCATTTCTTTCAAAAACAAACTATCTCAGTAGATCCTGAGTACAGTAGAGGTGGACTGACTAGCGTTAAGACGTTCTCGGGATCACACGATGAAGAGTGCTTATTCACCAGAAAAATTAACCATGTGTTATACATAAACGTTCACCAAATGTCTGCATTATCTCACTTCTGATAACAACAAAAGACTTTTTTAAAGACTTTTTGAGAAGCTGTATTTCTGATAAGGAACAATCGCTCAGTTTTTTCCAGTGAACCTTTCAAAAGCGTTTATTTCATTAGCTTGTCATAATATCAAGTTGGGTTTTGAATTTCATTCCCATGAGGTTTGTAATATATAGATAAAGGTATAACATATGTTATATTTGGGATTACACTTTCTTTGTAAAATACAGATTCTAGTACTTTTGTTGGGTTGAGTCCCTACCGGGATTCGATAAAGGTACCTAGAAAGAGGTCACAGGTGATGATAAAAGAAGCAAACATTTCTCAGGTACATTCCTTATTTACTTGTGTTCATGGCATGTAGAAACTAGCCGTCACCCAATGCACATTTTACAAAATAAAACCAAAACAACCCCGACCCCAGAACAAAACAAGACAACCCCCCTCACCCCCCAAAAAAAACCCAACAAAAACTATTAAAAAAATAGAAAATATAAACATCAACAACTAAAAACAAACAACAAAAACAAAACAAAAAAACACAACAAAAACAACAACAAAAATACCTTTCAAACAACAACAAACAACAACAAAAACAAACAAAACCCCAACACAAAACAAGCTGATTCAATAACCTTCCACCCGTGAAGGTCCGGATTAAAATATTGATCTTCAGTAACCAATGCTTGTCGTAAGAGGCGGCTGACGGGATCGGGTAGTTAGCTTCGCTGACTTGGTTGACACATGTCATCGGTTCCCAGTTACGCAGATCCGGGACAGACAGACAGACCGCCACCATATAGCTGGAGTATTGCTGAGTGCGGAGTAAAACTAAACTCACTCACTCAATAACCTTCCATTCATACAATTTCTCCACAACCAGATGTACATTTGCTCTGCTTGGACTGGGTCATTCTTGCATATCCACATACCACCTTGTTGTTTTGACAGGTTGTATAACAACAAGCTGCCTAATAAATGAATTTTCTCAAACATTGTTTCATAGCATGAGTTGTCAGTCTCTCCATAAACATCAACATGGCTGAACTTGACATAGTCTTGGCTGTCAAAATAAGTGTTCACTGTGTCAGTGCTATTTACAAACTATACTGACCCAGATGTCTGTCTAGATCTAGAGTTATGGTCAACATTAAACTGATGATTTACTCATACTACCAATGTCAGCTGAAAATTACGCCTGAATACCGCCGCTGTCAGCTGAAGAAGACTCAAGAATACCGTCGCTGTCAGCTGAAAGACGCCTGAATACCGCCGCTGTCAGCTGAAGAAGACTCAAGAATACCGTCGCTGTCAGCTGAAGATGCCCGAATACCGCCGTTGTCAGATGAAGACGACGCCCGAATACCGCCATTGTCAGCTGAAGATGATGACTGAATTTCGCCGTTGTCAACTGAAGACGACGCCCGAATATCGTCGTTGTCAGCTGAAGAAGACTCAAGAATACCGTCGCTGTCAGCTGAAGATGCTCGAATACCGCCTTTGTCAGCTGAAGACGACGCCCGAATACCGCCGCTGTCAGCTGAAGATGATGACTGAATACCGTCGTTGTCATCTGAAGATGACTCAACAATACCGTCGTTGTCAACTGAAGATGATGACTGAATATCGCCGTTGTCAACTGAAGACGACGCCCGAATACCGTCGTTGTCAGCTGAAGATGACCGAATACCGCCGTTGTCAGCTGAAGACGACGCCCAAATACCGCCGTTGTCAACTGAAGAAGACTCAAGAATACCGTCGTTGTCAGCTGAAGATGATGCCCGAATACCGTCGTTGTCAGCTGAAGATGACTGAATAGCGTCGTTGTCAGCTGAAGACGACGCCCAAATACCGTCGTTGTCAACTGAAGAAGACTCAAGAATACCGTCGTTGTCAGCTGAAGATGATGCCCGAATACCGTCGTTGTCAGCTGAAAAAGGCGCCTGAATACCGCCGTTGTCAACTGAAGATGATGACTGAATACCGTCGTTGTCAGCTGAAGATGATGCCCAATAATGCCGTTGTCAACTGAAAAAGACGCCTGAGTACCGCCTTTGTCAGCTGAAGATGATGCCTAGATATCGCCGTTGTCAGCTGAAAAGAACGCCTAAATACCGCCGTTGTCAGGTTTAGAAGACGCCTAAGTAATGCCGTTGTCAGGTGAAGGAGACGCGAGTGAGACAGCTAATTCTGATAAGCAATAACTATTCTGGCCTGGAGGTCTGGTCGGATATAGATTTCTTCATATTCGAGAAGCTGTTGTCATAGTGAAATAGATGTGTGTGTATAGCTGTGAGCTGTTCGGGGTAAACCAAGGTGTTCATGTTTGAAGCACTTCTCCAGTGTCGAATAATTCATTTCCAAAAGCAACCTATAAATGGCCAAATATGTACAAACTTATAAATAATGTTCTTATCCCAGAAAGTAAACATTTTTCATCATTCTGAATGTATCAAAAGAGCACTTCTAAATGTGTTGCGTATTTTCCAGATACGTTGCTTGAACAGTCTTTCGATAAAACCATTTTTTGTGTTCGATTCTAAGAAATGTCCGGTGAACCTGGTTTTACTATTTATGCAACATTTACAACCTAACTTGCCAATACCGTGTGTTAGGACTCGTACAGTAACTGAATCGTGAATCTGAATCTTGATATAGGACATGAGCAACTTAGTGTTAATACATGCATCAAGGAAACTGTCCTTCCAATCCCCAATATAATGAATGAGTGAGTGAGTTTACGCCACACTCAGCAATATTCCAGCTACTAGTATATGGCCACGGTCTGTAAATAATCGAGTTTGGATCAGACAATCCAGTGATCAGCAGCATGAATATCTATCTACGCAGTTAGTATACGATGACATGTGCCAACCAAGTCAGAAAGCCTGACCATCCGATCCTGTTAGTCGTCTCTTACGACAAGCATGAGTTACTGAAGATCAATTCTAACCCGGATCTTCACGGGTCTCGCCAATATAAACATGTAAAACCAAAAAACGGTTGGGATACCAGGAATCACCAAGACAGATCTGTTGATATACATGGTATTAAGAAATGGGTTCTCATGGTTGATGCGTTGCTATGGTGGCGCCCCATGTCGTCAAAGACGTTGAGAGGGTTTTTTTTCCATTTTCAGTCTTCGTTATACATTAACTAAAACCACTAAGCATACATACGATATATTAATGTTAAGAAAATAATAATAGCCTCATCCCATGTTTCGTTCAATTTACTGTTGATGCGATTAATTGCAAATATTGAATTGTTTATAATCATGCTACTATGAAGAGAAATCCACTCTGCTGTTGAACATTGCATATACTTGCATTGTGGGCATGTGGTCGTCAGTTCTGATGAGAGATTGATTGACTAAAACCACTCCTTTTGGCCAGACATGACAAATTCTTCGTGGCAAGATTGTAATGAGTCAACTAATGCCTCGACTCATGTTCCATTCATCAGTGAGAGCAGAACTCAGTGAGTGAGCGAGTGAGTGAATGAGTGAGTGAGTGAGTGAGTGAGTGGGTGGGTGGGTGAGTGAGTGAGTGGGTGGATTGGTGGGTGGGTGAGTGAGTGAGTGAGTGGGTGGGTGGGTGAGTGAGTGAGAGAGCGAGTGTGTGGTTGAGTGGGTGAGTGAGTGAGTGGAGGGATGGGTGGGTGTGTGAGTGAACGAGTGAGTAGGTGCGTGGTTGTGTGGTTGTGTGGGTGTGCGGGTGAGTGAGTGAGTGAGTGAGTGAGAGAGCGAGTGTGTGGTGTGGTTGTGTGTGTGAGTGAGTGAGTAAGTGGGTGTGTGAGTGAGTGAGTGAGTGAGTGAGTGAGTGGTTGTGTGGTTGTGTGGGTGTGCGGGTGAGCAAACAAACGCCCTGTACCACAAGACTGTCCCCGGTGACATCACTGACTATATTGTGTTGATGCAATTGTCCTATATCTTCGCATTTTACGTCCAAGAAGTTTGTTTCGACTAAATATGGAGGCTGTTCTGCAGGCATGTTTACTGATGTATGGTTACTGACATGTTTAGTTTATGGCTTCAACACAATGGTTGTTTGGAGCCGTGATTCACATACACGACTGCGTCAATATTCATGCCTTGTCAAATACAATTCATTATCAAAACTGTTCTTTTGTTACGAGGTAGACTAACATGTTGTCTCTGATATGAACATCGTATACACGAATCGACAGACTCTCTACATTTCTACACTGAACGTAGACTTGCAGGGGCTGTATTAGATATATCTGCTTCTGTGTCTGTACGGCAAACTGATGCCGGAGGTTAACGCTAGGAACGGTACATAAGGAATATAATATATTAAAATATAGTGAATCCATTTATAACACCACCAAACGTAGTTGTAATTATGAAGAAATTCAAGGAACATTCCAATCCCAGCTGACAGGCTGACAGGGGTTATATGATGACGGAATGCTGTCAACTGGCCTGACCTCAAAACATCACTGTTGTTTTCAGAGTGACTCAAAACACCGAACTGCATCAACGTACCAAAAGAGAAACATTCGTTACCCAGGTGCACAATGTTCAGCAGGATTGTAACACACTAACACACTTTCAAGTTCACTGTGACCTCGGAAGTCCGAAACGCCCTCTTCACACTCGTTACCCAGGTGCGCAATGTTCAGCAGGATTGTAATACCCCCAGGCCAAATGTAGAGATAACATCATTATCAGGTAATATGATACACCAGGCCTTATCACCCATACTGCATATCCTGATCATGTAGAACACCAGTGCTTGTCACCGTCCATGAAACCATGTGGTTAATACTCATGCAGTTGGTCTATGAACATGTGGACACTGTTTCAACAGCGGGGTAATCCTTGTTTGTTTTAGTAACCTGATACATTCTGTGTCTAGTTCCACATTGACAAGAATCTCTGGAGGGTGGGAGTTGTCATACCAATTACTGGATAACGCTTTTACTGCTGCTGAGAGATCCTAAAAGATAGGGACTTTTCTAACATTTGGCCTAGGACTAGTAACACACTAACACACTTTCAAGTTCACTGTGACCTCGGAAGTCCGAAACGCCCTCTTCACACTCGTTACCCATGTGCACAATGTTCAGCAGGATTGTAACACACTAACACACTTTCAAGTTCACTGAGACCTCGGAAGTCCGAAATGCCCTCTTCACACAGATATTAGGTAATACATAGGGTAGGGCGTTGATTATCGCTAACATGCCGGCAGGTAGTACAAGGTAGTGCTTCTATCTGTAGAGCGTCTGCATCCTGCAGAGGGCAGTGTTATGATATTGAGGGGAGTGATCATTAGATGAAAATAGAGATCGGTTTGGATGGTCTATATTTAATGTTACATCTGATAATATGGAACAAGTATGGGAGTCAAAACGATGCCAAACAAACCCTTATTGGAGCCAAATTACATAATATGAGCACTTGCTGGAAACAAATAAGAACATATGTAACACTTATTGGAACCAAATAACATCATATGTAACACTTATATGAACCAAATAACATCATATGTAACACTTATTGGAACCAACCAAGATCATATGTAACACTTATTGGAACCAAATAGGATCATATGTAAAACATATTGGAACCAAATAAGATCATATGTAACACTTATTGGAACCAAACAGGATCATATGTAACACTTATTGGAACAAAATAAGATCATATGTAAAACTTATTGGAACCAAATAAGATCATATGTAACACTTACTGGAACCAACCAAGATGATATGTAACACGTATTGGAGGCAAAAAGATCATATGTTACACTTATTGGAACCAACCAAGATCATATGTAACACTTATATTGGAGGCAAATAAGATCATATGTAAAACTTATTTGAACCAAATAAGATCATATGTAAAACTTATTGGAACCAAATAAGATCATATGTAACACTTATTGGAACCAAATAAGATCATATGTAACACTTATTGGAACCAACCAAGATCATATGTAACACTTATTGGAACCAACCAAGATCATATGTAACACTTATTGGAACCAAATAAGATCATATGTAACACTTATTGGAACAAAATATGATCATATGTAAAACTTATTTGAACCAAATAAGATCATATGTAACACTTCTTGGAACCAACCAAGATCATATGTAACACGTATTGGAACCAAATATGATCATATGTAACACTTATATGAACCAAATAAGATCATATGTAAAACTTATTGGAACCAACCAAGATCATATGTAACACTTATTGGAACCAAATAAGATCATATGTAACACTTATTGGAACCAACCAAGATCATATGTAACACTTATTGGAACCAAATAAGATCATATGTAACACGTATTGGAACCAAATAAGATCATATGTAACACTTATTGGAACCAAATAAGATCATATGTAACACTTATTGAATCAACCAAGATCATATGTAAAACTTATTGGAACCAAATAAGATCATATGTAAAACTTATTGAACCAACCAAGATCATATGTAACACTTATGGAACCAAATAAGATCATATGTAACACTTATTGGAGCCAAATAACATCATATGTTACACTATTGAACCAACCAAGATCATATGTAACACTTTATTGGAACCAAACAGATCATATGTAAAACTTATTGAACCAAATAGGATCATATGTAAAACTTATTGGAACCAAATAACATCATATGTTACACTTAATGGAACCAACCAAGATGTTATGTAACACTTATTTGAACCAAATAAGATCATATGTAACACTTATTGGAACCAACCAAGATCATATGTAACACTTATTGGAACCAAATAAGATCATATGTAACACTTATTGGAACCAAATAAGATCATATGTAAAACTTATTGGAACCAAATAAGATCATATGTAAAACTTATTGGAGCCAAATAACATCATATGTAACACTTATTGAACCAAGATCATATGTAACACTTATTGGAACCAAATAAGATCATATGTAACACTTATTGGAACCAAATAAGATCATATGTAACACGTATTGGAACCAAATAAGATCATATGTAACACTTATTGGAACCAAATAAGATCATATGTAACACTTATTGGAACCAAATAAGATCATATGTAACACTTATTGGAACCAAATAAGATCATATGTAACACTTATTGGAACCAAATAAGATCATATGTAAAACTTATTGGAACCAACTAAGATCATATGTAACACGTATTGGAACCAACCAAGATCATATGTAACACTTATTGAACCAACCAAGATCATATATGTAACACTTATTGAACCAACCAAGATCATATGTAACACGTATTGAACCAACCAAGATCATATGTAACACTTATATGAACCAAATAAGATCATATGTTACACTTATTGATTCAACCAAAATAATATGTAAAACTTATTGGAATCAAATAAGATCATATGTAAAACTTATTGAACCAAATAAGATCATATGTAACACTTATTGAACCAACCAAGATCATATGTAAAACTTATTGGAACCAAATAAGATCATATGTAACACTTATTGGAGCCAAATAACATCATATGTTACACTTATTGAACCAACCAAGATCATATGTAACACTTTATTGAACCAAATATGATCATATATGTACACTTATATGAACCAAATAAGATCATATGTAAAACTTATTGGAACCAAATAACATAATATGTAACAATTCTATTGGAACCAAACAGGATCATATGTAAAACTTATTGAACCAAATAAGATCATATGTAAAACTTATTGGAACCAAATAAGATCATATGTAACACTTATTGAACCAAACCAAGACCAAATAAGATCATATGTTACACTTATTGAACCAACCAAGATCATATGTAACACTCTATTGGAACCAAAATAAGATCATATGTAAAACTTATTTGAACCAAATAAGATCATATGTAAAACTTATTTGAACCAAATAAGATCATATGTAACACTTTATTGGAGCCAAATAACATCATAACTTATTGAATCAACCAAGATCATATGTAACACTTATTGAACCAACCAAGATCATATGTAACACTTATTGAACCAACCAAGATCATATGTAACACGTATTGAACCAAACATGATCATATGTAACAATTTATATGAACCAAATAAGATCATATGTAACACTTATTGAACCAACCAAGATCATATGTAACACGTATTGGAACCAAATATGATCATATGTAACACTTATATGAACCAAATAAGATCATATGTAAAACTTATTGGAACCAACCAAGATCATATGTAACAATTGAACCAACCAAGATCATATGTAACACTTATTGGAACCAACCAAGATCATATGTAACACTTTATTGAACCAACCAAGATCATATGTAACACGTATTGGAACCAAATAAGATCATATGTAACACTTATATGAACCAAATAAGATCATATGTTACACTTATTGAATCAACCAAGATCATATGTAACACCTCTATTGAACCAACAAGATCATATGTAACACGTATTGGAACCAAATAAGATCATATGTAAAACTTATTGGACCCAACCAAGATCATATGTAACACTTATTGAACCAACCAAGAGATCATATGTAACACTTATTGGAACCAAAGAACATCATATGTAACACTCTTATTGGAACCAAATAAGATCATATGTAAAAACTTATTGAACCAACTAAGATCATATGTAACACTTATTTGAGCCAAATAACATCATATACACTTATTGAACCAACCAAGATCATATGTAAAACTTATTGAAACCAACATGATCATATGTAACACTTATATGAACCAAATAAGATCACCATGCAACACTCCCATTGAACCAACCAAGATCATATGTAACACGTATTGAACCAAATAAGATCATATGTAACACTTAATGGAACCAACTAAGATATATGTAACACTATTGAACCAAATAAGATCATATGTAAACTTATTGGAACCAAATAAGATCATATGTAACACTTATTGGAACCAACCAAGATCATATGTAACACTTATTGAACCTACTCATATGTGAAACTGTTATCTCGAACCAAATAAGATCATATGTAACATCTCCATGGAACCAAACAAGATCATATGTGAAACTCTATTCGAACCAAATAAGATCATATGTAACACTTATTGAACCAAATAAGATCATATGTAACACTTTATTGAACCAACCAAGATCATATGTAACACTTATTGAACCTACCAAGATTCATATGTGAAACTTATTCGAACCAAATAAGATCATATGTAACACTTATTTGAACCAAATAAGATCATATGTAACACTTAATGGAATCAACTAAGATCATATGTAACACTTATTGGAACCAAATAAATGATCATATGTAACACTTCTTATTGAACCAAATAACATCAAGATATGTTACACTCTATTGGAACCAACCAAGATCATATGTAACACTTATTGAACCAACATGATCATCATGTAACACTTATATGAAACCAAATAAGATCATATGTAAAACTTATTGGAACCAACCAAGATCATATGTAACACTTCATTGAACCAAATAAGATCATATGTAACACTTATTGGAACCAAATAAGATCATATGTAAAACTTATTGGAACCAACCAAGATCATATGTAACACTTATATGAACCAAATAAGACTATATGTAAAACTTATTGGAACCAACCAAGATCATATGTAAAACCTATTGAACCAAATAAGATCATATGTAAAAACTTATTGAACCAACCAAGATCATATGTAACACTTATTGGAACCAAATAAGATCATATGTAACACTTATTGAGCCAAATAAGATCATATGAACCTATATATGAACCAAATAGGGATCATATGTTACACTTATTGAACGAACCAAGATCATATGTAAAACTTATTGAACCAAATATGATCATATGTAACACTTATATGAACAATATAAAAATCATATGTAAAACTTATTGAACTAAACCAAGATCATATGTAAAACTTATTGAACCAAATATGATCATATGTAACACTTATATGAACCAAATAAGATCATATGTAACACTTATTGAACCAACCAAGATCATATGTAACACGTATTGAACCAAATAAGATCATATGTAACACTTAATGGAACCAACCAAGATGATATGTAACAC